TGGAAAACTTGCAGGCTGTGGCTGGGGTGCCCTTCTCTCTCTCATCATGGTTTCAGATCCCCAGGTGGGCACTGACAGCAGCGGAAGCTGGGTGCGGAGGGGACGGAGTGCAGCACCTTGCCTCCCTCGCCGAGTTACAGGGTAACTTGTTGGTTGAACCTTTGCTTCGTGCTAGCCAATTTCCTGTAAAATCTAGCTGAATCTGGTTTTTGGGTGGATGTTGATAGCTTTGCTACTACCACAAAATCTTCAATACTTTGTAGACAGAAATTAATGATGTTTGAGGGGAGGAAGTAAAACAGAAAAAAAGATATGTAGTGTAGGCAAATCAGCTAAACCGATTTTATTTCAGTTTTCATTGAAAAGCTAAGTTAAGCTGGGCCAATTTCTTCTTGTTATGCATGTTATAAAGATGTGCTGTATATCATCTGCTTTATTACTCTTGCAAGCCAGGTGAGTGTGCTGTGTTTCTGAGTTCTTTTACACTTCATAAAGTTTAGGCTTAAAGGTGTGGGTGTTGGGTTGTTTTTTTTTGTTTTTTTTTTAAAAAAGGAAAAAGGCAGAAACATAGAACAATCAAATGAAAGGTGTCCATCAGTATTCCTTTTTGTTTTCCATGTAAAGTGTATAGAAATGTTCAAGTCATACAGCTGTAGGTTACTTTGACACTTACTTTTTTGTTAGTATCTAAGTTACATATTACCAGGCAAATAATAACTAGAAGTTAAACTGTTTCAGTTGAAAACACGTAAGGAGTTGTATGTGGATTACCACTACCATTCGGTAACAGGTGATGCAAAGGGAGAGGGGTGGGAACATGTTTTAAATATTCCCTTTTAAAACAGACTTGTAAATAAGCAGTGCTGTGTTATTTTAGACCTGAGCTCTGCTAACTGTAGTGGTTAGAACTTAGGAAAACATGCTGCTTTCTAGTTATGCTGTTTCATTGTACCAGCACAATGGGGGGGAAGTAAAAAAAAAAAAATCAGTAAATTTTTCTAACATTGCCCACTTGTGGGTAAGCATGCTTGATGTGTAGCAGTTCTCGTTTATGTATATCTTGGTGTGTAAGTGTGTGTTTTCTTTTTTCTTTTTGTTCATTGCAACTTATTCTTCAGTTAAGTCTTGCTGAGCCCCACTAGCTCTTCTGAGGGTGATTACTGGAA